CCGGGCATCCCCGAACGGGTCCCTCCCCATCACCTCGCCGGGTCCCCAGACCCTCTCTTGGTCCCTGCCACCCGCTGTCCCCAGCCCTGAGAGCTACCCGCTCCTCCCCGGGGGGGGGTTCGGGGCTGCAAATGGGTAGAAGCACACGTGCAGAAAAATAAACGCGTTTCCACGGAGCCTTAAAACGCCTATTCCTGCATTTCCAGGGAAAGCTGCGCCTAAACGCAGCGAAGGGGCAGAGAACCTGGAGAGCCCGTGGAAGGATAATCCAGGTTTAAAGGTTGAGGGGCTCTGGGTTATCGCCCCGCTAACGCCCGATTCCAAGGGAAGGGGCATTTTGCAGTTGGCAGGGGCAGCAAGAGGCCGGCCCCGACCCACCGACGCTGGTGGAGGATGAGCAAGGAGGGGACCCGCCAGCCTGGTTGGGGACGGACAGGGACACACAGAGCTTCGTGGTGGCCCCCCTGGGGCTGGAGAGCCTCCCCGGCTGCCGTGGGAGAGGAGGGACGGGAGGTTCCGGAGCCGCAGGTGAGGAACCGGAGCCGTAACGGGCCACGAACGCAGGGTGAGCGGAGACAGCCTGTTCATCCCGCTCCCCCAATCTCTGGGGCTTTTCCTACCGAACCAGCTCATTATTTTTTCAGAGCTGGGAACAAAAATAACTGACAGCGAGTGAATAATCCATGAGGCTTTGGCTGAGCGGCGTGAGCGTTGTCAGGGCAGGGGCGGGGGGCTGTTGAAACAAGAAAGAAAACATTTGACTCAACCCCAAACTGAAAGGGTGGTTCGGACGGGCGCTCCCTGACCCTGCTCTGGGGCCGGAGGCGAGGTTTGGGGGCAGGCACCGTCCCCAAACAGTGTGTGTGTGCGTGGGGGGGGATGCTCCAGGAGCGGGCGAGCGAGCGATCCCCCCCCACACACACACACACTTAGGGCAGCGACAACTCACCGGGGTGCTCCCACCCCTCCGAAAATCGGCGCCGGGCTCTCCTTCCTCACCTCCACCCCAAGCTCTCCGTGAGCTCGGGCTGCTCCTTAACTAACCTGCCCCCGCCGGCGTGCTGTGCCAGACGCTCGTCACCACCCTTGGCTCCTCGTTAGCTTCTCCAGCGTCCGTCCCCACCGCTGCAGGGTGCTTAAGGATGGAAGTCAGTAACGGGCTCGCCGGGAGCCGACAAACCTCCTCCGCTGGTTAAAAACGGGCCAAGAGCCCCTTGGCCGCAATCCCTGCCCCCAAGACGAGCGAATTTTCGAGGGGCTGCAGCGCGGGCGAGGGTCGGGAGCGCTCGTCGGGGCTCCCTCGGCTCCGTTCCCATCACAGGGGATCGCCCGGCCACCTTCGCAGCCTCGTGGGAACGGGGAGCACGTGCCCCACCGCTGTCCCCGGCCTCACCCCGAGGAGCAGCCCCGGCCCCCCGGGGGCAGCTCCTCGGCCGGCGTAAGAACCCG